CAACAACATAACCACGTGAACGCAAAGAGGAAGAAAAGACCGAGCGATTCGTACCTAATTTGCTGAGTTCGATTTCTCGACATCCGAATTGCATCGAAAAGGAACCTGACTGCCTTCCGTAGGTAACTCTTTTCGACCTTCATTGTCATTCAATTTGTGTTGCATTTTTGAACCGTGTGTCGCTCGACGATGTTTGGAGACGAGAACCGCCAGAAGGGTTTGGATCGGCAGAATCCGATTGAAGAAAGGGAGAGGACAGCGTTTTGGCGAAGGTTGAGGTCCGGTCGCCGGTAGTTGAGACGGAGATCGACGAGGATAACGAACGCACTGGTGGTGTATGAGAAGGGATAGCCGCAGTGGCGCTATGATGGAGATTAATGAGGGATATGATCATGCCGCGCCGTGGGAAGTGAAGGGAAAGAAGAGGTTTCTGTGTTCGTGAAGCTGTACCGTCTCAAATTTTGTAACCCTAACATGCAAGCTAAACACAAGCGTTTTACCGTTATCTCTTTTTCGTTCATTTCTTTTTCCTTTTTTGCTTTTCTTTGAATAATTCTAAAACAAAAGTTGGTAGTGAAGGTTTTTGTGCATTTTTTGACACTACAAGCCTTGTAAGCTGCTACAAAAATTGGTTAAGGACATTACCGCATGGGCCTTGCTCTTATTTTGCTGGACGACCACGCACCTGAATCCAGTTTGCACTCCTGTTTACAACCTTACACCCCTTGACTCTATTATTTTTATTTCATTGAATTTTTAGTCTTAGTTCTTTTTTTTTTCTTTTCATTTTTTGTTAATAAAAATACATATAATGAAACAATAAAAAATATGTAGAATTTAGGACTTCCTCTTAAACTTTTTTATGATAAAAAATACTACAAAATCAATAAAATTCGTTAGATTTTTTTAAATTTGATTTTGGAAATTAATTCATGATTATCCAATTACTTGAGACCCGTGATTCACCTTTGGTTGTTGAGTTGAGTCTTATGCAGGTTCATTATTTGATATTCGGACATGTTTGAGTTTTCGATTGTGATTTATTTTCATATTGATGATGCTTCGACACTTATTCTGAGCATTTGATCTCTGACTGTTTGTTTGTTGATGCTAGCTCGCGTGAAGTATTCCAGATTCTTTGATTTGGTGGCGCTTTTTGCGAACATTATTTTTCGTTTGGTATTATGTTGCTTCCAATTTATATTTCAGCACTTTACTGCTTTCTAGATATCATGAGAATTAGGAAATAAAGAGCGTGCGCTCGAAGTCGTTGTTTAAAGTCCTATAGAAGGCACCGCTTTCTGTATGTTATTTGTGTTTGTTTAAAATCCTACCTTTTAAGTAGTTATCCCGCATGTGTGTTTACATTTGTGCTCACACCTACTCCTCAATCCCTTATTGAAGTCCTCAAAAGGAGGAGAGCGGAAAGGGTTCGCAATCAACCCCCGCAGTTTGCAACCAATCCCCCATACTTTGTCAGGAGTTCGCATTGGCCGATGCAGACACTGAGATTGTTCATATTGCCTTTTGTCTCATACCTAGATCTTTTATATCTTGGTTAAGTGTTCAGTCTCTTTGGACATCACGTTTTTGTATTACGTTCTATTCCCTCTTGTTTGCTTCGGGTGATTTGCTCCCCTTAGCTAAAGAATTTCTCTTCTTTTTATATTTCACTCCCACTTATTTGTCTCGGGTGATCCCCTCCCATTGACTAAAGCATTTCGCTTCTTCTCTTTACCATTTCATGTGTGTGCTCTTTCGAGTTTATTTGTTCACTCGCTTTCTATACCATGTTCCCCTAGGATGTGCTTGTTCCTTTTGGATGCAAGTTAAACCTCAGGTTGCAAACCATACATACTAACATAGGGTAGAGATTTCCCTTTCCATTTTTGACATAGGGCCATCACTGTATGATAACACTAGGTTAGAGATAGGTTAGTCTCCCTTAGGTGTTTTCTTCCCATTTTTTCATAATTGCATTTAAAACTAAAAATTCTTTTTCTTGGAAAATTTATAAAACATGCTAAACATATAAAAATCCTTTTCATGGTAAAAAACACCAACCAATTCATTTCTTTTCGCCATTCAGATTTTCTCTTCTAAGAACGTGTTGATTCCTTTCCACTATAATGTATGAGTCTCTAATGGTCGAGCGGCAGTGGAATGATTGAATTTAACATTGTTCATCTAAAACATACAAACAAACAAAAATTTGTGAGCCGAACTATGGCACTCTGATTCCTTAAAAGTCAACCAAACTTTGACCAGACATAACTTTCACATACTTCATCCATTTTCCCCAACCAAAGCTCATATTGAAGAAAATAACATTCCCTACAACTTCTCTTCAGCCCTCAAGTCCAAGAAATGCACCATTTGAAAGATACAATCTCATACACTACATGTCATTTTCAGAAAGTCAACAAAAGTCACTTTTTGCCAAGACCTTTTACATTAAGATAAAATCTTCAAATGTAAAATTAATCAAAAGAGGGATTGAAGTAGACATATTGGGATTTCCCAAAAGTCAAAGATCATCATCACGAGATCAAAATTGAGCAAGTTATGGCTTTCCTAAGTTGGGAAAATTTGGGAAATTTCAAGAATTAGGCATTGAGCAAACTTGAATAGCAAGTCTCCTAGGAGTCAGATTACGATACTCTCGTTACAGTTTTGCTTTCGAATTGACCCATGCTTTAGTTAGGACATTTAAGGGTTATAACATGGTCTGGTTCATGGTTTTAGAAAAAAGGATTTAAGGCTCAAAATTATTTTGTGCCCACCCCTTCTCCATGATGTTCTTCATTCCTATGTTCAGTTAACCCGATACAAGCACTCATCTCTCAAAAGGAGTTTACAATAATTGAGGAACCACTGAGGCTTCTTGGACACGATAATTACTAACTTTTGATTTTGGTGTCTGGTCACACGACCTTGTTCTTTTGATGAGGATTTTTATTGGTGATCCTTTTCTAGCCTTTTAGGCTTTTCAATTTCTTTCTCGTTTTCCCTAACTTTTTACTTGACAAATTCTATGGAATTTCGATTTAGAAATCCAGCGGGATGCTCTAACTTTTGCCTAAGCACTTGTTTTCAAGTTTCGACTTAGCGGGGATTTTTGTTTCTTTATTATTCATACATTCCTTATTGAACAAGTCGTTGATCTTTACGTTGTCTTCGATTTGTTGGAAGTGATCATGATTGTTTGAGTCTTTGGTAGATGAGGGATAACCATTGTTGTATCGTTATCTGATCTCGACTTCTTGATGTGCGAGAGATACCCATTGAGGCATTGTCAATTAACACAAACTCCTGATAAATGAGGGTTAGCCATTGCAGTTTTGACTTTCCTCAACCTTTTGAAAGATAATCAATGTTGTATCCTTGGATGTGCACTCTTGATGAGTTTTGAATGATCTATTAGACTAACTGAACAATGCCCGCCCCAGGGTTAAAATGAGGGTTTTTCTGAACAGAAAAAGAAACTCCTACTCCGAAGGCTCAAAGGGGGTTATCGAGGGTCTATCTCCCTTATATCTCCGGTGTTTGGGGATTTGAAACAATACATGTACATCGTCAGCAGGGTTTTATTCAAAAGCATAACATTTGAGATTTTAGGTATATTTCTCATCATCCTCCCTCCAGAGGTTTTACCTTATTAACAAGAGTTGAGTATCAAAAGCATAGTAAAACAAATAAGAGTGATATCAAATGGATTAGTTCAAGATAATCATATTCAATGCATTTTGATTTAATATTAAAAAACAAACAGTTTTACATTTAAGAAAGTATTGAACAAAACAAGAAGGATTACAAATGAGAATACAAATGAAAGTAGAAATTATCGTGTTAAGGAGACGTCTTCGGGCTTATTACTTCAGAAGATTCTCTTTGTAGTCTTGACGCTTATCTCAGCAAGAGGATTCAATCCATTATTAGACCCTTTAGAGTGAATATGATAGCTTTGGCATCAGGGAGGTCCTGAACTCTGTATTTAAATGCACTATAATTCTCAATTGTGTGGCCCGGGGCCCCTGAATGGAACTCACAATGAGCATTGGCATCATAATCACGAGGGAGAGGGTCTGAAGGAGGACCAAGCTCTCTCAGCTGGACTAAATGGCCTTTTAACAAATTGGGGAGGAGTTAAGCATAAGGCATATGTATATGATCCATCCTTCTTTCAGGACCTTTATTCCTCTTCTGGCCTTATTTCCCCCGAGGTTGTTGATCAGCTGAAGAAGTGCATATTGTGTTTGTTGAACATACGAAGGTCTTTGTATGCACTGTTGTTGATGAGGGATTGGTTGATGCCTGGCCATCATAGGTTATTGATCTGAAATTGTAGCATATGCTCGAGGAACATACCGATTAGGACGAACAATCGATGCCTGACGGTATGGAGCTTGATCTTGATGATAGACCAGGGCCTTCCCTTTGTCAATAGTAGTACTAGTCTCTCCTTCTTTCTTCTTGAGAAAGCCAAAGCAAGGTTTCTTGTTACTTCCACTAATAGCGCTAGATGCACCCTGAATTTTTTCTGACTTGAGGCCATCTTCAATACATTCCCCAATGGTAACCAAGTCAGAAAAGGAAGTTGAAGTACTACCAAGCATGTGTTGGAGGTATGGGTCTTGCAAGATGCCCATGAATAAATCAGTCAATTCACGATCCAAGAGAGAGGGTTGATCCCTTGTAGGAAATCCACGCCACCTCTAGGCGTACTCTTTGAAGGACTCTTCAGATTTCTTTGCCATACCCTGAAGCTGAGCACGACTAGGAGCCATAGCAGTGTCGTGGTGGAAATGTTTCAAGAAAGCATCAGCAAGCTCTCCCCAAGTATTGACATGAGTTCTCTATAACTGGATATACCATTTTAACATTGTCCCAGTCAGGTTGTCTTGAAGGAAATGCATGAGCAATGGTTCATTATTAGCATTAGCTCCTATCTTGCTACAGTAGCGACATAGATGAGATTCTGGACAATTATCGCCTTTGTATTTGTCAAAATCTGGAATCTTTAACTCTGAAGGGATAACAATCTCAGGTACTAGGCATATGGTAGTGTCATTGAAAACAGAAGTCTTAGAAGTTTCCATGGCATCAAGACGTTCCTTAATAACATGATGCATTTTAGTAGTTTCAGCATGATCAACAGTGAGATCACCTGGTGGTCCATTAAGATCAATGACATTGTCATAGTTGTTAACCACCTTCTTCTGAAACCCTGGATTATCGAGAGTGATCCCAATAATAGTAGCTTTGGGAATCCCATTAGGAGGATTAGGAAACTCATTAGAAGTGGAAGAGAAAGCCTCTGCAATCTTGGGAACACTCTAACGAAGCTTTTCTTGACCTTTAACAACAGCTTGAAGAGTCTCAAAAAGTGGATCC